AGCAGAATATATCCACGGCCATGATAACAAAAATAAACTTAACTAACTCCACTAGTAACAATTTCTATTGTAAAAGTGAAGGGTAAAGAATAAGACCAATTAACCCTAAATTCTTGAAGCAGTTATCCAGTATTGCTCTCCTATATCAAGTTATCCAATATTGCTATCCTATAAACTGTTATCCTATAACATTGCTAATTCGATGGTCACCGCGGAAGACTAATGACAAGTATAATCCCAATTATATTACCGTATATTATATCTCTACAATTAATACATTCAAGAATTTTGCAAAATATTTATTTACGAAAATAAAGTAAAAAACATTGTAAGCAAAAAGTCATAGTGGAAAATGTAATAAAAAAGTCTTGAGCGGGCCACATACTTGACCATTTCCGGGTACAATATATCGATGTAACAGTCTGGTGAATCAAGAGAGGCACAGAAAGATCTGTTCTGAGCATTAGCAACAGTAAATAAGAAATGTAGCAGGAATAGAACACAACGGTGTGTAGAGTGAAGCCAAGAGATATACCGAGCAGGGTAAAGGCAGGTGGGTCCCCAGGTCTAAGGCAGTAAAGACAGGTGGGCCCCCAGGTCTAAGGCAGTAAAGACAGGTGGGTCCCCAGGTCTAAGGCAGTAAAGACAGGTGGGCCCCCAGGTCTAAGGCAGTAAAGGCAGGTGGGTCCCCAGGTCTAAGGCAGTAAAGACAGGTGGGCCCCCAGGTCTAAGGCAGTAAAGACAGGTGGGCCCCAGGTCAAGGCAATAAAGACAGGTGGGCCCCCAGGTCTAAGGCAGTAAAGGCAGGTGGGTCCCCAGGTCTAAGGCAGTAAAGACAGGTGGGCCCCCAGGTCTAAGGCAGTAAAGACAGGTGGGCCCCAGGTCAAGGCAGTAAAGACAGGTGGGCCCCCAGGTCTAAGGCAGTAAAGACAGGTGGGCCCCCAGGTCTAAGGCAGTAAAGACAGGTGGGCCCCCAGGTCTAAGGCAGTAAAGACAGGTGGGCCCCAGGTCAAGGCAATAAAGACAGGTGGGCCCCCAGGTCTAAGGCAGTAAAGACAGGTGGGCCCCAGGTCAAGGCAGTAAAGACAGGTGGGCCCCCAGGTCTAAGGCAGTAAAGACAGGTGGGCCCCAGGTCAATGCAGTAAAGACAGGTGGGCCCCCAGGTCTAAGGCAATAAAGACAGGTGGGCCCCAGGTCAATTCAGTAAAGACAGGTGGGCCCCAGGTCAAGGCAGTAAAGACAGGTGGGCCCCAGGTCAAGGCAGTAAAGACAGGTGGGCCCCAGGTCAAGGCAGTAAAGACAGGTGGGCCCCCAGGTCTAAGGCAGTAAAGACAGGTGGGCCCCCAGGTCTAAGGCAGTAAAGACAGGTGGGCCCACAGGTCTAAGGCAGTAAAGACAGGTGGGCCCCAGGTCAAGGCAGTAAAGACAGGTGGGCCCCCAGGTCTAAGGCAATAAAGACAGGTGGGCCCCAGGTCAAGGCAGTAAAGACAGGTGGGCCCCAGGTCAAGGCAGTAAAGACAGGTGGGCCCCCAGGTCAAGGCAGTAAAGACAGGTGGGCCCCCAGGTCTAAGGCAATAAAGACAGGTGGGCCCCAGGTCAAGGCAGTAAAGACAGGTGGGCCCCCAGGTCTAAGGCAGTAAAGACAGGTGGGCCCCAGGTCAAGGCAGTAAAGACAGATGGGCCCCCAGGACAAGACAGTAAAGACAGGTGGGCCCCCAGGTCTAAGGCAATAAAGACAGACAGTGGGCCCCAGGACAAGACAGTAAAGACAGGTGGGCCCCAGAACAAGGCACATAAAGACAGGTGGGCCCCAGGACAAGGCAGTAAAGACAGGTGGGCCCCAGGACAAGGCAGTAAAGACAGGTGGGCCCCAGGTCAAGGCAGTAAAGACAGGCGGGCCCCCAGGTCTAAGGCAATAAAGACAGGTGGGCCCCAGGTCAAGGCAGTAAAGACAGGTGGGCCCCAGGACAAGGCAGTAAAGACAGGTGGGCCCCAGGTCAAGGCAGTAAAGACAGGTGGGCCCCCAGGTCTAAGGCAATAAAGACAGGTGGGCCCCAGGACAAGGCAGTAAAGACAGGTGGGCCCCCAGGTCTAAGGCAATAAAGACAGGTGGGCCCCCAGGTCAAGGCAGTAAAGACAGGTGGGCCCCCAGGTCTAAGGCAATAAAGACAGGTGGGCCTCCAGGTCTAAGGCAATAAAGACAGGTGGGCCCCCAGGTCTAAGGCAATAAAGACAGGTGGGCCCCAGGACAAGGCAGTAAAGACAGGTGGGCCCCAGGACACGGCAGTAAAGACAGGTGGGCCCCAGGTCAAGGCAGTAAAGACAGGTGGGCCCCCAGGTCAAGGCAGTAAAGACAGGTGGGCCCCCAGGTCAAGGCAGTAAAGACAGGTGGGCCCCAGGTCAAGGCAGTAAAGACAGGTGGGCCCCCAGGTCTAAGGCAATAAAGACAGGTGGGCCCCAGGTCAAGGCAGTAAAGACAGGTGGGCCCCAGGTCAAGGCAGTAAAGACAGGTGGGCCCCCAGGTCAAGGCAGTAAAGACAGGTGGGCCCCCAAGTCTAAGGCAATAAAGACAGGTGGGCCCCAGGTCTAAGGCAATAAAGACAGGTGGGCCCCAGGTCAAGGCAGTAAAGACAGGTGGGCCCCCAGGTCTAAGGCAGTAAAGACAGGTGGGCCCCAGGTCAAGGCAGAAAAGACAGGTGGGCCCCCAGGACAAGACAGTAAAGACAGGTGGGCCCCCAGGTCTAAGGCAATAAAGACAGGTGGGCCCCAGGACAAGACAGTAAAGACAGGTGGGCTCCAGGACAAGGCAATAAAGACAGGTGGGGCCCCAGGACAAGGCAGTAAAGACAGGTGGGCCCCAGGACAAGGCAGTAAAGACAGGTGGGCCCCAGGACAAGGCAGTAAAGACAGGTGGGCCCCAGGTCAAGGCAGTAAAGACAGGTGGGCCCCCAGGTCTAAGGCAATAAAGACAGGTGGGCCCCCAGGTCTAAGGCAATAAAGACAGGTGGGCCCCCAGGACAAGGCAGTAAAGACAGGTGGGCCCCAGGACAAGGCAGTAAAGACAGGTGGGCCCCCAGGTCAAGGCAGTAAAGACAGGTGGGCCCCCAGGTCAAGGCAGTAAAGACAGGTGGGCCCCCAGGACAAGGCAGTAAAGACAGGTGGGCCCCCAGGTCAAGGCAGTAAAGACAGGTGGGCCCCCAGGACAAGGCAGTAAAGACAGGTGGGCCCCCAGGACAAGGCAGTAAAGACAGGTGGGCCCCCAGGTCAAGGCAGTAAAGACAGGTGGGCCCCCAGGTCAAGGCAGTAAAGACAGGTGGGCCCCCAGGTCAAGGCAGTAAAGACAGGTGGGCCCCCAGGTCAAAGCAATAAAGACCGTGAATGATCAGTATAAAATAAAGTTTGGCGTGTACCTGCCTGTTATTTTCCTGTTCCTAAACTGTATTTTTTCTCCCCCTCACCCATCCCTTTCCACCATTTCTCTCCCATCTATTACCTTTGTCTTTGTCTCTCTTTGCCTGTCTGTTTCTGCATGTATGCCTGCGTCTATCTGTCATTCTGTCTCACCTGGATGAGGGTTCCGGTATTTTCTCTACTCTCCAAGCCCGGCCCGAGGCCAGGCTCGACTTGCGAGACTTGGTCCAACAGGCTGTTGGAGTGGCCCGTAGGTCCCCCTCGTATCCACTACAACCCGGTTGCTCCGGCACTTCCCGAGGGGAAACTGTCTCATTTTAATCTTGAAGACGTCCATTGTTGTTCTGGCATTATTTCTGATGTTCGCTGTGGGGGTATGTTGAACCACCGTGGATCTCTGAGGTTCAGTATTATCTGATTGTACCTGTGCCTTTATGCCCGTCTGTGTGTCTGTCTCTGACTGCCCCCGGCCCATCTCAAATCCTAATCCTGACCCCTTCCCAGTGCTATATAGTCGTAATGGCTTGGCGCTCTCTCCTGATAGTTCCCTTCCCTTCCTTTTCTGACTGTCCTGTTGTCATCGTCTCAGTCTCACTGTTCTCCACTTCCTCTCTATCTCATTACATTATTTCATCTATCGCCTGAGCTGCGTTCCAGATGAGAGTCTGGCCTAGGAATGAATGATTGCCGAGGGAGTGATGGTGTAAAGAAAAGGTTGACCAGCATAAGGCTGGTGATGGCTGAGCGCCTTGTGTTACAGGTTCCAACTTCCGGCACGTCCGCGAATTTGGCCCAAGTGGGGATTCTCGAGAACATTGGTCTTGTGTAACAGTATGCCCTCCAACATCTCTCCAATGGTGAAGGCTCTGATGCACTGACCCGTCCTCCCAGTCTTCAAGACTTGGGAGGAGCCTTAAGCACAGAAAACACTATTTGAACACCTGATGTTCAATGAACCTCTGAGGTCCTCGGCTGTTCAATATCCTCCCAGCAAGTATAGAAAATATTGCCAGAACAAAAGTGTACTTTAAGAAACAAATAGTTTCTTGAAACAAGTGCTGGGCCAACCGGTTGTAGTAGATATGTGGGCCTGCGGGCCGCTCAAAGCAAGTCTGTTGGACAAAATGATCTCAAGTCAAACCTGGGCCCAGGATGGGCTTGGGGGGTGTGGGGGATGTGGGAGGAGGACTCCCAAAACCTCTTCCACGTAAAATCCAGGCAATACATGGTTCTCCCCTTGTCCAAAATTCTGATAAATGATAGGTGTCCAGGAGTGCATATGGGGGTGAACTTTTGCTTTATATAAGGATTCTGCAACCCTTCATGTAGCCTTTAGTATAAATATTCCCATATACCTAATGTATTTATAAAACTGAACAACATACACAACCCTTCGTGAGATCGGATGCGAGGATGTTAGCATTGAATTCTGTTCAGTACAACAAGCGAATCCCATTCCAGCAGCTAGTTCGGCTGCCACTCTCTCAGAGTCCTAGTTGTGCTTGCGGGGGTTGAGCTCTGCTCTTTTGGCCCGCCTCTCAACTGTCAATCAACCAGTCTCTCTTTACAGAGTGCAATCTCTCCTGCAGAAGGTGACGGCGGACCGGCAGCACACCATCTACTCCCTCATCAACTGCGAGCAAGCCTTCAGCAACTCCTGCAGGTTCGGTCTAGAGCGGTACCTCATCCCCCTCAAGTTCCGGTCAGACCTGGTCACCCAGACCCAGCATGACGTCCTCTTCAACAACCTGGACCAGGTGAGGTGGTAGAGAAGGGTCTTGGTGGGGGTGAAGGGGGGAAGGTGGAGGTTGTGAACAGTTGTGAGAGAAAGGTTGTAGGAGACGTGAGGGAGGGTAGAAGATTGTGGAATAGGGGAAGGGGAGAGAGAAGAAAATTCCAGGCCCTTCCCTGCTCCAAGAATTTAACATGCTCTATAGAAGGGAATTATCAAGGGAAAGCGCCAAGCCTATATAGACTATATAGCACTGGGAAGGAGTCAGGATAAGGATTTGGGATGGGATGAAGGAATGATCCCCCAACCACTTGCACAGTCAGGGATTGAACGCCGACCTGCATGAAGCGAGACCGTCTCTTTACCGTCCAGCCTAGTCCAGATATTTATTAAATATAACCTCAGCATTTATAAATTATTTCATTAATACGAAAAGTGGGATCCAATTCATTAGGAGCCATGGACGAGAGTCAAGGCTCCAGAGTTTGGGCTCTAATATGGTGCAGTCAGTGCTAGTTCTGATCTTGTTTTAGTCTTAGTCAAACACAAACTTTAAAGAAAAACATTCAATTCGCTCCATTGTCTGTGTGTGCGGGAAACGTGTTTTTTTTAGAGGTGGGGGAAGGGGGGGGGGGGATCAAACAGGGCTGGAGCCTGGCCCCCCTCATGGGGTCCCCCCCCCCCTTGGTGATGTGATTATAGTGTTCTGTGGATGTTGGAGAGAGGGAAAGTGGGAAGTGAGTGAGGGGAGAGAGAGAGGGGGTGGGGGGTGATACAGGGGAGCATTATGAGGAAGGTGGGGGGTGATACAGGGGAGCATTATGAGGAAGGTGGGGGGTGATACAGGGGAGCATTATGAGGAAGGTGGGGGTTTGGGAGGGGAGGGGGGGGGGGAGACATGAGATACAAGTCTTTGGAATATAAATAATTGCATCAGTTCAAGGAGTATGGTACCACTGAAGCCTCATCTGAGGAGCGTCTCTCCCTGATAACCTACACAATGTGTTATCTTAAAGATGTTCAAAGGAACGTCTGTGTAGTGAGGAGGAGAGGGGTGAGGGGTGTGATGCCGGGATATGAAGACGTATGCGTACAGCCTCGCCAGGGTTCAAAACGTCAGTAAAACGATGTACTAAATTGGTCGAACCTAACCCAACCGAGGGCATACGAAAATAAAATGGGACGTCACGTCACTTTGGCGAGCCGATGTAACTTAATACGTCTGTTTTTGGCCCTAGGGGATTTAAATTGGGGGTTGGGGGCCTCGTAGCCTGGTGGATAGCGCACAGGACTCGTAATTCTGTGGCGCGGGTTCGATTCCCGCATGAGGCAGAAACAAATGGGCAAAGTTTCTTTCACCCTGAATGCCCCTGTTACCAAGCAGTAAATAGGTACCTGGGAGTTAGTCACTGTCACGGGCTGCTTCCTGGGGGTGGAGGCCTGGTCAAGGACCGGGCCGCGGGGACACTAAAGCCCCGAAATCATCTCAAGATAACCTCAAGATAAATGTCAAAATCCGTGGTGTGTGTGCATGTGTACATGCTCGTCCTTGTGTGTGTGCGTACATATGTGCGTGTACTTATTTCCATGCACGAATGTATGTGGGGGAAAGGTTGTAATCGCCTAAGTGTGCTTGTTGGGGATTGAGCTTCGACTCTTTAGTCTCACCTCTCGACCGTCAAACAACTGGTGTACAGACTCCTGACGAGCCTATTGGGCTCTTACCATGTCTACATATCAAAGTTGTGTCCAGAGTCAGCCTCCACTACATCACTTCCTAATTAATGCATTCCATTTGTTAACTATTGTGACACTTGACAAAAATCTTCCTAATATCACGTGGCTCATTTGGGTACACAGTTCCCACCTGTGTTCCCTTGTTAGAGTACCACGTATACTAAATAGTCTGCCTTGATCTACCCTAACAATAGGCTTACAGGCCGCGGGTTAGGTATGTTGTAAATCTGTTGTAAATCAAGGTCCGCTGGTTTAATAATATTCGTCCATCAGTGAACCTGTATCACATGTATCAGTAAGCGGTTACCCCGGTCCCTTGAGAACTTCTCCATCTACAAATCAATATATAACTGGCTAATTCAAATACAGAAAGAAGAGCAATGGTCTCACCAACTGCTGGAGAGGTTGGGGTACACCACACTGGTTCAGGTCTTGACCGAACGAGCTCTCGACCCGTGACCATTGGCGGGGCTCAGTTCACTAACGAAGGACGACTAGTGATCTATACCGGGTCTCGTTGCTGGTTGATAACGACCCTTTACTCGGGAGCATTGTCACTAACGCGAGTGACAAGCGTATCCTCACCTCTGGTCTTACCACATTAATTTATTAGTCGAAATAAACATTTGTATTTAACACGAAAATTTAGATTTAAACCCTTTATTTATGATAAATACCAGAGTAAAATGGAACATAACAAAGCATTCCGACTACCCGGGTACGGAATCCTGGCCTTGTCCGGTTAGCAGCTAGCCATTTTAAATCGTAATAATTTATTACGATTTAACGCCATCTGTTGGCGTGAGCAGTAGCTTAGTCAACCCGGTGGAAAATGTTTCAATGACTTTCCACACACTCCATTCTGTCTGTTTTCCAAGTAAAGGCATGTTAGTTAGGCATGAACCCGCCCCCCCCACCCCCACAAAAAAGAAAATCATATTATGGAACGTTTTTAAGATATTTAAAAATCACAAATATTTTTCTATCTAGTTTCGCAATATCTGATTTTTTTTAATTAACATGCTTAGGTATACACAACAAGCTACCTTATTCTAGATAAGATTACAGCGTGCAGATAAAAAACTAGCTATATGTTCATCTACTATCCCCATCTCACAGGATAGTTAGTCATACATTGAATCAGAAGAGAACATGAAATATGAGGCTGATTTATTAGCCTACACTCGCACACTCTAGTGTTACGGGAAGCCACCAAGTTACGTGTTAATTCGTCGCACCAAATTAAGACTTAAATTGTGTGTTAAACTGCTGTGGAGGGAAACGAGGCCGACAATAGTTTGTGTGGTTTTGGTCCCGGACTACACGACTGGCGGCAGGAGGTGTAACCCGTCCTCGACTCAAGTCCATTCTATCCAGCGGTCGACCCCACAGACTCATTCATCAACTTTTACATGCTGTTCATTCAAAACGGGAATTTTCTCAAATATAAATTAATATTATAATATATTAGCATATTGTACACATATAGGCATAGGTTAGGTTAGGTTACGTGTTTAGGTTCTGCTGGCGATTACTGGTATTTATAGTTCGTGGGGTGAAGCATTTACAGCGTTGTGCTTCGAGCAAAATTCGTCAGTGAAGCACTTGTTCCGGAAGTGTTCGAACGCAGCCCGTCCTCCAAACAAAGATCCAAAAGAGATTCCATGCACCCGCCAAACCCCCTGTTTATGAATGAAAAGCGATTTACACACGACTCACAACTGCTGACGTTCGAACATATCCGAAACAAGTGCTTCACTGACGAATTTTGTTCGAATCACAACGCTATAAATGCTTCACCCACGTACTACAAATACAAATAATCGCCAACAGAACCTAAACACCTAACCTAACCTATCCTATGCCTATATATGCACAATATGCTAATATATTATAATATTAATTTATACTTGAGAAAATTCCCGTTCTGAATGAACAGCAAGTTAAAATTTATGAATGCGTCTGTGGGGTTGACCGCTGGATGTAATGGACTTGAGTCGTGGACGGGTTGTCGAACGTCAGCAGTTGTGAGTCTTGTGTAAACCGCTTTTCATTCATAAACAGGGGGTTTGGCGGGTGCATGGAATCACTTTTGGGTCTTTGTTTGGAGGACGGGCTGAGGAGGTGAGAGATAATCAGAGTCGCCGACCAAGATAATGAGTTCACCTGTGAATCTGGGCAGAGTCAGCCGCCGTCCTCATAAACTAAGGCCCCCCCCCCCTGAACGTCGCTCTCCGTTCGAACACGTAAGAGCTCCAACTCGGCAAGCAGTGTATTTACCAGCCCGTCCTCCAAACAAAGATCCAAAAGTGATTCCATCCACCCGCCAAACCCCCTGTTTATGAATGAAAAGCGGTTTACACACGACTCACAACTGATTTCGTTCGATCACTTCCGGAACAAGTGCTTCACTGACGAGTTTTGTTCGAACCACAACGCTATAAATGCTTCACCCACGTACTACAAATGCAAATAATCGCCAACCAAACCTAAATAACTAACCTATGCCTATATATGCACAATATGCTAATATATAATATAACTAATTTATATTTGAGAAAATTCTTGTTTTGAATGAACAGCAAGTTAAAAGTTATGAATGCGTCTGTGGGGGCAACCGCTGGATGTAATGGACTTGAGTCGAGGACGGGTTGGTATTTACATAACACCTGGAAGTCATGGAGAATTTTTCTACCCTGGATGAGACGCCGCCTTAAATATCACAACATATGCAACAGTGCTGTGAGGTGCAGGATTATACTGAATTTGAAAGTCGGTGTTGATGGACATTTGCCGATATAAATTCGTGAGTGCATGAAGTAGTTATAAAGCTCAAAGTACCTCATGCCATTTGGCCTGAGTTCCCTGATAACAGGGCAATCGCAGATATTGGAGAGTTTGTCTCAGCTCTTGTTCACATAGTTTATAATTGGAATGTTCACCATTGGGGGATTCATTACCTGCAGCCATCTGCCATAGATATCAATATCCCAGCCTAATTCTGGCAATGACAATACAACACTGTCTAGTTGATGTTTTACGCTGCCCATACATATAATTCTCGGTTGTAAACATGTCATGGCTCTTTATACTGGTGCTTTCTGGCCTCTGAATATCAGAAATTGCTCTTATACCATCACTAATATCTGACTAAACTTTCGATCGTATGGTTTCAAATGTAAAAACTTTGATGTTGATAGAAAAACAAAGTTTTGATAATCACTATTGAAGCAGTAGCCAAAATATATCTGATATCACATTAAATTTCTTGCATTATTGTTGGGAGTTGAATACAAAGGCGTCATAACGAATGCAAGAAGGATTTTTTGGAAAGGAAAATTCAATTATTGGCGTATGCATTGAATTCTATTGAGGCCGAGTTTAAAGAGGAAAGTGCCAGACAAAGAATGGAATATCGGGTAAACTTCTTCGTGTTTCGAAAGGTTAGTGCCACATATCGTCGTTGATCGAGAAACAATGTGAAACAAATGGTATTAAATACCATCATTCTCATTTGACAGGCAATAATACTGCATAATTTTCTGAATTTCCTTATCTCGTACCGTGTTTTTTTTTTAGTTACAGAGATAATTTGTTTACTATGCTAGGTGACAGGTTGAAATTTCTAGACTAAGCTATGTTATAAGGATGTTTTCAGAATAGGCTATGTACCAGGCTATTTTTTTGTTAGGCTAGACTTTACAGGGATTTTTCAGATTGGTCAGTAGGATTACTTAGTAAGGCCTACCTTGCGGTTACCATTCGATGATTTCAGGGCTCAACGTCCCCGCGGCCCGGTCCTCGACCAGGCTTCCTGGTTGCTGGACTAGTCAACCTAGGATTGGTTACGTTTGTTTTATTCTCTTTAATATACCTTTAGTACAAAATGTGAACTTAATTGTGTACAATTGTCCATATTTTGTACATTTTATAAATAGTAACTATTATATAGACCTATCATTTTGATACCTGGTTGATGGAGTTCTGGGAGTTCTTCTACTCCCCAAGCCCGACCCGAGGCCAGGCTTGGGGGGAGTAAAAAAAAAAACACTCCAAAAATACTTGACTATTTTGGAAGGATGGGTTTGATAATTTATATAAAATTAAAATAAAGAAAAACTTGCCAACATTTATGAATATATTATTTATTATTATTATTACATATGTAATGTACATATAATCATACACTCTCTTGCTTCCTGATGCTCGCGTCCAGTTGATGGACCTATCAGAGACTCTGGTGGACCGTCTGATGGGCAACGATGATGACAATATCGGGGATCAGGTCGGAAGAGCCTACTACATGCTGGTAAGTCTTCCCTCACATCTTTATTGACTCTGCTGCTGCTGCCTCCTTAGGTTTTATTAGCTGTGATGCTAGTAAAGAAAGCCCCCCCCCCCCCTGGAGGCACCGCGAGTATATAGCCTCGTGTCGTAGATAGAGGGCTTTTTGCTTCTATTAAGCAGGTTATTGCACTGGGGTCTGGAGGTGCACAGATTGTCGCTGCTACTTTATGCACGTAAGGTGTCAATTTTATGTTGATGAGTGTCACGTCTGGCGCAGTGTCAGTGCCACATGTATGCTTGGCAGTGATTGGCAAGTCATTAACCTGTTGTAGGTAACCTGGGGGGTGGGGGGTCAAGCACCTCCCTCCACCTGGTCTCGGGGGCTTGTCTTGAGTGAACCTATATCTGTAGCAAATTGTTTATTTTTACTCAGGTAACTAGACACACCTGATTCCTGAAAGCAGGTTGAGCGCCTTCACATACCTGATGGCAAGCCTTGCCATACTAATGTTCCCTGGAACACGACCCGCCAATCGGTTAGCAAATTAGTGTTGGGTGAACAGAGGTATTAGATAAATGAAAACGTACCCCACTTTTTCTGTTCCGGTTGGAAATCAAGCCCTGGATCCCCGATTTTTAGTCGAGAGCGTTTCTCATATAAATATGAGAAACTAAACTATAACGGCACGCAATACCTACTGCTTTTGCTATTTGAATGGTAAATCAGTTTCAAAATTAATCTTTCATGATAGCGTAAATTGTGCCGGTAAATTCTCATTCAGATTTGTTGAGTAAGCTGATATATGGAACATAAATCCTCAACCCAATTACATTATTTATATATGTACACAATTCATCTTCTCGGGACACGCAGCCAGTGAATATATACATGTTCGACTTGTATCGAGGTCCCTCTCCTCCCCAACCTAAAATTAATACTGAACTCGACCCTACTGACCCTCCCCAGGATGCAACCCCACAACAGTTGATCAACTCCCGGGTACCTATTTACTGCTGGGTGAACGGAGGCATTAGGTGAACGGTAACGTGGCTATCCAACTTTATCCCGGTCGGGAATCGAAACCCTGGATCCCTAATTGGGAGTAGAGAAGGAAGCCATTAAGCTCAACACCAAACTAAGTTCCCGAAATTCTAGTACAGAATATATATAATTCTAGTATATATATATATATATATATATATATATATATATATATATATATATATATATATATATATATATATATATATATATATATATATATATTTTCAGCCGTTGTATGTTGTTGTTTTAGGTTCAGCTACTGGGAACAAAAAGTTGCAAGTAGCACGGGCCACGGTGAGCCCGTAGTGGACTGACCAGGCACAGGAGCGGGTGCAGTGACCGGTGTATATTTATATTTAGCCTAATAGGTCATATTTTACTTTATATTTATATATATATATATATTATATATATATACAAGATTTTTTACATTCTTGTACTGCCACTAGCACGTATAGCAATTTAGGCAGGTTCTTAATCATAATTTTCACACACACACACACACACCCCCCTAGGAAGCAGCCCGTAGCAGTTGTCTAACTCCCAGGTACCTATTTACTGCTAGGTAAAAGGGGGGGGGGATCAGGGTGAAAGAAACTCTGCCCATTTGTTTCCGCCTCCACCAGGGCTCGAACCCGGTCCTTGAGGACTACGAATGCCGAGCGCTGTCTACTCAGCCGTTAGGGCCCCGGTGTGTGTGCAACTAAAAGTGTTCCTGATCTAGAACCGAAGAGATAATAACTTGTGTCCATTCCTAAGTTGCAACCCCACATTAGTGGTCTGACTCCTACGTGCATGGGAGCCGGTCGGCCGAGCGGACAGCACGCTGGAGTTGTGATCCTGTGGTCCCGGGTTCGATCCTGGGCGCCGGCGAGAAACAAGGGGCAGAGTTTCTTTCACCCTATGCCCCTGTTACCTAACAGCAAAATAGGTACCTGGGTGTTAGTCAGCTGTCACGGGCTGCTTCCTGGGGGTGGAGGCCTGGTCGAGGACCGGGCCGCGGGGACACTAAAGCCCCGAAATCATCTCAAGATATCCTCAAGATGTTGTTACTGCCAAGTGAACAGAGGCATCAGGTGTTAGGTATTGTTGCCCAAAAGTTTCGCCCTGCCTGAGAATCGAATCCGGGACCATTCAGTTGTGACGAAACAGCTCCAAACCATATACTTATTTTTTTTAGCATTATTTCTTTTGGTCTTAGATGTAAATTTAATATTATGTAAACTTATTCATATTCTAAATCCCTGTAACTCATACATGCTAAATGTAAACTTTATCTTGCGATCTTCTTTATAAACTCGCAAATTTCAGCCAATATCCTGCATTATCTATTATCTTTGAAACTACAGGAAATATCGGGAGATAAATCAGTCCTATACATGTTTCCATATTCATTAAATTGTAGATTGTTCTCACAAGAGTTGCCTGTGCAAATTTTGTCCAAAATTGATTAACTTTAACATTACAAATAATTCTTATAAAAAGTTTACAATGTTTACTTCTTCCAAGTATATTAACCACTCGGCAGGATATGTATAATTATAATTATTAGTAAATGGCCTGAAAGTGCATTCGAACCAGGTGATTAAACTCTACGTTACCACCTACAGATCGAGGAGCTGTCGGAACACTACCGCCGCTACCTTGGGGGACTGCCCGAGGCCGACAAGGTTCTCTCCCAGAAGCTCCACGACCTTGATTTCAAGGACTTCCTCCAGGTGCCTCTGGTGCCTTGCAAGAAGCCCGACATTACCACTTTCATCCACAAGCCTGCTGAGGTCAGGGTCCTAGGAAGGAAAGGGGGCATGAGGGTAAGGTTAGGGGTCTTGGCCGGGGTCTTAGCTGGGGTCTTGGCTGGGAAGACTTGCTGGGAGTTCAAGACTCGGGTTTTCATATTTAAGAAGCAAATGCGGTTATTTCGTCAGAAGAAAATAAAGTGGTTGTGGAATGTGGTTGTGGTGGCGTGTTCAGATAATCCGTGTGGTTGTGGCGGTTTGTTCGGATAATCAGTGTGGTTGTGGTGGTTTGTTCGGATAATCAGTGTTGTTGTGGTGGTTTGTTTGGATAATGAGTGTCTTTGTGGTGGCGTGTTCGGATAATCAGCGTGGTTGTGGTGGCGTGTTTGGATAATCAGAGTCGTTTTGGCGGTTTGTTCAGATAATTAGTGTGGTTGTGATGGTGTGTTCGGATAATCCGTGTGGTTATGGCAGCGTGTTCGGATAATCCGTGTGGTTGTGTCCAACGTATCAACACGGGCCAGTTGGCGTACCAACACGGGCCAGCTGGCGTACCAACACGGGCCAGCTGGCGTACCAACACGGGCCAGCTGGCGTACCAACACGGGCCAGCTGGCGTACCAACACGGGCCAGCTGGCGTACCAACACGGGCCAGCTGGCGTACCAACACGGGCCAGCTGGCGTACCAACACGGGCCAGCTGGCGTACCAACACGGGCCAGCTGGCGTACCAACACGGGCCAGCTGGCGTACCAACACGGGCCAGCTGGCGTACCAACACGGGCCAGCTGGCGTACCAACACGGGCCAGCTGGCGTACCAACACGGGCCAGCTGGCGTACCAACACGGGCCAGCTGGCGTACCAACACGGGCCAGCTGGCGTACCAACACGGGCCAGCTGGCGTACCAACACGGGCCAGCTGGCGTACCAAACACGGAGCAGCTGGCCCAGATAATTGTGTGGTTGTGGCGGCCTGTTTGGATAATCAGTGTCGTTGTGGCGGCGTGTTCGAATAATCAGTGTGTGGATGTGGTGCGTGTTCGGATAATCAGTGTAGTTGTGGCGGTGTGTTCGGATAATCCGTGTGTGCATGTGGTGCGTGGTCGAATAATCAGTGGTTGTGGTAATTGGATAATTAGTGTGGATGTGAAACAGTGTAAACAGGTTCGGATAATCAGCGTGTTCGGATAATCAGTGTGGTTGTGAAACAGTGTAAACTATGCCTCACATGTGTAATACATCTCATATCTAGCCACTGTGCTGTGGAATAAGTATAAATTTACTTGCATATGTATACAGAAGGCTGGCATAGTTAATCAAAGTAATTACGAAAACTTTTTTGTCAAGAGGTTGACTTTCAACCATCTATTTACTTTAGTCATGTCACCTCTTACTGCGAATCTTCCTAGAAATGTAAGTTACATTTCTAAGAAGACTTGCAGTAAAGGGTGACTCAAGTAAATAGATGGTTGCACGTCACTAATAAAGGGGATGTTAATTTAGTGTTAAATATATCAACACGAAATAGGACTACTTAACGTTGGATACAAATTGGATAAGTTTAGATTCGGGAAAGACCTGGAGGAATACTGGGTTGGAAATAGAGTATTTAATTTATTTAAAGAACAAATTTTGTTACCACTGTTTTTTTCTTCATATTTATGTACATTTACAAATATGCAGCTTCCCTAGATTATTTGCCAAACATTTATGTTTCCACATGCGAAACCTGTTCATCTTTCAACACTTATTGCAGTGTTGTTTACATTTATGAAATAGTTGATGAATTTCGAAACATTAAGAGACACTTATAAACACTAAGAAACACTTATAACAATAATAACCACGGGTTGGGGAGTTCTGGAGCTCGTAGCCACCTTGAGTATTCAAAAGATGTACAGGTTTCGTAAATTGATGAGTAAAGGCTTGATGAATGCCCTGGATACTCGACTCTCGAATGCAGGGCGGTTGCAAGGGCAGCTCCTCTTGCGAGCGACACTAACGATTGGCATGAATGAGGCAATTCATGGCTTGTCACAGAGTGCCACTTGTTCCCAGCGGCCAGATTGGCTGGGAGGAGCCAGTAAAGTGCCTGGAGGCACCCAATAACAATCTGCCGGCGTGATAAAGAGGCGCTCGAGTGCCACCAGCCCGTCAAAAAGGGTGTTGTAGTCGCTGTTATGATTTGTAAGCTATCCCGTGCTGGTACGCCAGCTGGGCCGTGCTAGTACGCCAGCTGGGCCGTGCTAGTACGCCAGCTGGGCCGTGCTGGTACGCCAGCTGGGCCGTGCTGGTACGCCAGCTGGGCCGTGCTGGTACACCAGCTGGGCCGTGCTGGTACACCAGCTGGGCCGTGCTGGTACACCAGCTGGGCCGTGTTGGTACGCCAGCTGGGCCGTGCTGGTACACCAGCTGGGCCGTGCTGGTACACCAGCTGGGCCGTGCTGGTACGCCAGCTGGGCCGTGCTGGTACGCCAGCTGGGCCGTGCTGGTACGCCAAACTACCCTTAATAATAATAATAATAATAATAATAATAATAATAATAATAATAATAATAATAATTTCACGTTTCCATGGATATAAACAATATTTTACCTGAGAAATAGTTCACACTGATATTATGCTGTATATTTATGGTTTAAATAGTTAATATTTAATTATCTCAAAGTTATTCTGTCAAAGGGGCTCAAAGTTATTCTTTCGTCCCTTGTCACAGATGTAATTATCCTTATTGCCCCCCTTGCTACAGGTGTAGGTACGTGTGAGTTCACTGTAGCCACAGGTAGCCATTTAGGAACGTACTGAAACAAGTGTTTACCATCATCCCATTCTCACGTGTCTGAAACAATCCTTACTCGAGTCCTTGCTGATGTGGTGATTGATCTCCCACAGCACCTGCGGGAGGTGTTGGGTCTCCTGACGCAGGTGTACGCGGTCTCGCCAGGTCACCTGGATAACACGTACCTGGACGCCGTCTTGGACCGTCTCAAGGTGGGTGTGATGGAGCTGTAAGCGTTGGTGGGTACTTCTCCCGTCTCTCTCTCTCTCTATACTGACATGATACATGTGTACATGTATATATGTGTAGCATATCGTTACATGTATATGTATGTGGGGTATCTGACAGTGCCCGGGCATGTCTCTCTCTCTCTCTCTCTCTCTCTCTCTCTCTCTCTCTCTCTCTCTCTCTCTCTCTCTCTCTCTCTCTCTCTCTCTCTCTCTCTCTCTCTCTCTCTCTCTCCCTCCAGTGAAAACCCGGTAGTAACACCCACCAGTCGCAGATACCAGGTACATGGTAGATTAAGGTAGATTAAGTAGATTATAAGAGTAAGTAGGGTAGATGTTTTCTGTGTTTTTTATTCAGAGCAATTTAACACCATTGCCAGCTAGGGTGGATATACTAAAATATCTAGGGGTAACTCTATTCTAAAATACCCTATTCGAAAATAGGCCATTTTATAATAGGGTGTAATAGATTTGTATTAATACATTCTATGTTAAAGTGAATTTGTCATTTCAGTTCATTCCCTTTTTGTCAGTCAAGTGAGCATATATCATATAGAGAGCCCCTGATCCTCGGCATGATTCAGTGATCCTATAAGCCCTATAATAATTAGCATCATTAAGGTAACCATCAATCAACTTTGTGATATTTAACAGTAATTAACAATCTGTGTAGCTACGTAATTATCAAAAGTGTCTAAGTCTCTTGTTTATTGTCCATGAGTCCTGTACCTCTTAGGGTCCAGGATATTGTTATTTGCAGTAATTATTAAAAGAAAACATCTGTGGAGGCAGGTGTTAGCAGGTGTTGGAAGTGTTGGATCTTGCATATACTTTCCCTGGTGATAACAGCTTGCCAGTAGTTCCTGAACGGTGCCTCAGTGAACTGTCTCACTGTCAGTTACATTGACAGGGGGGGGGAGGGGGGCCACTGTCAATGTAACGTTGGCCAGTGGCCTTCATGGGCAGTGCTTCCTTCATGGGCAGTGCTTCCTTCATGGGCAGTGCTTCCTTCATGGTCAGTGCTTCCTTCATGGGCAGTGGCCCCACTATAGACAGTGCCCCATGCCCAGGCAGAACCCCGAACTCAGCACCCAACCTTACTTCCCCCACACAGGAGTGCTACCGCGCTGTGACCACGCAACAGAACATAATGGAACCCGTGCCACGCGCACACCCACCCACCGATCTGGCCGGCTCCACGCCCACGCCCGCCCACGCCAGGCCCCACGCCCCCCTGCGGCCGCCCCTGGTGTCCGTTGCAGACATCGAACAGCGCCTCGTGTTTACCAAATATACGCAGGTCAGGCCCATGTTTTATTGTTTATTTTGGAATGAAAAAGGGGATGTAGGGGAAGGAGTGTTGTAGGAAAACGGGGGTGTAGGGGTGGGGGGGGGGTGTACAGGAGGGGGATGTAGGGGTGGGGGGGGGTGTACAGGAGGGGGATGTAGGGGTGGGGGTGAAGGGTATGGTTGCCCAATTGTTGCTGAAGGAAAAGGGGCAATGATCCGATGTCATCAGCCATGATCAAAAGTAATATTTAGATGTGGTAGTTTGGGCCGAGTCTTGCTTCATCCTTTGTTCTTTGTCGTAGAAGTATTTTGTGATATTCTTTTTTACATCGGTGTTTGATGATCTTGTGCCCGTGTTCTCTCGTTCTGTGTTGTTGCAATGTCGTTATTTTCTATGTTGGGATCATGTCTCCTTGCTCTCTATTCTATCTTTAACTGGGAACCTGAAGTCTTTGTTATAGGATTTTCAAATAGTGGCCTAATATAGTTATGTAGACGCCACACCAACTGCTGCGTATTCTGGTTGTCACAATATTATTGTTCATTATCATACTTTTATGCCATTCGATAGTTAGGTATTATTACATAGGCCTCACATACTTGGGGCAGTTATGTGGCCTTGCAGTGACGTGTTGCTTGTCACTGTAAGATCTCTCTCATCAAGGTGGACAGGAAGAATCACATTCCATTAAATCTCATTTTTCCGTCTTAAATTCCATTAGTTATGACTTGCCATGAAGACTTGTGACCATAGAAGACTTACACAAACTTGTAGCTTATTCAGGCGATGAGTCACAATAACGTGGCTGAAGAATGTTGACCAGACCACACACTAGAAGGTGAAGGGACGACGACGTTTCGGTCCGTCCTGGACCATCGACTTGAGACTGGTCCAGGACGGACCGAAACGTCGTCGTCCCTTCACCTTCTAGTGTGTGGTCTGGTCAACATTGTAGCTTATTACATCAATGTATCATGTTGCACTCTTGCAATGTTTTGTATCATCTTGTATTACTGCAGTGTATTGTATCACCTTACAGTATTGTATCATCTCCTCACAGCCCTTTCGTTTGAACGACGGCCGGCGCCAGTGGGTGTTCGGGGGAGAGTTGTACAAGTTCGAGGGCCGCCACCTCAAGCAGCACTGGGCCATGCTCTTCACCGACCTGGTGCTCTTCACCAAGATCAA